CCGCCCGATCGGCCGCCGACTCCGGCACCCGCTGACAGACAGCCAGCGCGCGGCCCCATCCCATGGGCAGAACCGCGAGGCGCGGCCACAGCAGCTGAGACCGCCGCTGCCCCTGGACGGCACCACGCCCCAGCCTCCCAGCTTCTATCGGCGGGGGCGCGAAGTCTGGCCGCCAAGCGAGGGGCAGCTCCACATTTCAGAAGGCGCCCGCGACGTCCGCCGAGGCCGTCTACAGGTTGGCGCCGCCGGGCAGCCCGAACGCCGCCAGCGCCGCGCCCGCGGCCAGGTGCACGTCGGAGGGCGCGCCGAACCAGAAGTTGGCGGGCCGGGCGTCGACGACGAGCCGCTGCCCCCCGCTCTTCTTGGGCGCGCTGAAAAGGCCGACCTCGCCCATCACCTCGCTGGGGTCGCTGACAAGGTCGATGGCCCCTGCGTCGAGCATCGAGTAGGCGAGCCACGATAGCTGCGCACCGACATCGGTCTCGAAGAATCGGATCCACGCAGGGCCCTCTGAAGCCAGCATCCTCTTGCATCTGCGAAACTTCGGTATGTGGCAAGACCTTGCTCGAGATATCACGACGAACGGAACCGTGAACCTCGGGCGCCAGAAGCCGCTCCAGCGCCACAGGACAGTAGCCTGGAGGCGGCAGCGAGAGCCGGGAGACGCCCATCGCCTCCGCCCCAGTCGACAGCGCGCCGTCGTTCGACAGTGAGTTCGGAGCTCCTGCAAGGGCGCCAAATGCTGAAGGTCGCCCGGCGGGGGACCTAGCTGCACGACGGAGCCCGCGATTCGGGACAGGCACCGCCGCTGCGCCGGCGTCGCGTCGGCCAGCGGCCCAGGTTCGCCACCGCCCCCAGCGCCGCCGCGGCCGTCGAGCGACTCCACCGCGTGCCTGATGAGCCACGGCGGACGCAGCACGGCTGGCCCGCCTCCGCACGCCGCGAGAACACCCGCCACCAGCCAGCTCGCTGGGGTCAGCAGCAGCAGGCACGGACAGCGGAAAAAAAGGTCCTGCTGTCGCTCCGCGCCCACTCCGCCGCACCTGCCACGCACGCTCTCAGCGGCGCAGGCGACCGCCGAAGAAGGCCCAGTTGCCGCAGCGCCCGGGGGGGCTGGGCCGGAAGGCCCCCCCAGGCATGACGACATCATGATTTCGCTTCCCCCGGCCTCGGCCCTGGAGGCGGCCCTCGCTTCTCCCCGCAGCTTGCGGGCGTTCTTCTTGAGCTGGCTGACGCGCTCGAGCCCCCTGCCCACGACGTCCAAGAGCGCGGGGCAGACCATGCTGCTGGGGCGGATGGATGCCCCCGTGCCCCCCACGAACGCGCTGATCTCCCCCAGGGCAACTTCTGCTGGGTGACGTCCTGCCCCCTCTGCGTCTCCCCCCAGGTGTGCTCGATGAGCTGCATATTCCTGCGCGGGCGCTCCGTTCCGACGAGGTTCGACACGTTGACCTCGCCGATCGTCGCTAGGTCCTCCAGAACCGTGCTCAGAGCGTGGTGCTCGGCGACCCCGTAACTTAGTCCGAGGTGCTGAGTCGCTTGCGTGCCTTCCAGTTCTCGCGATGCTGAATCGGCCCGCCCTTGCGGAACAGCCAAGCTACGCACCAGGCGGCCGAGCGCGGCTGCAGCACGAAGTGGGGGCCTCGGCCACCGCGCGCCAGCTGCGAGGTCCACTGCTGCCCGCGATGCGTGCCGACGTCCACGGATCCGACCCCCGCCACCTCGCAGAGAAATCAGCCCGCCTCCAATCCTCCAGGACGAAAACCATGGCCGATACACCCGCCCCGAGCGCGAGTCGCCAGCGCGATGCCTGAGATCGGGCCGACCTGCACCGCCGAGCCGAAGGGGAAGGCGCCAACGTCCCCGGCGAGCACCCAGGCCCAGCCTGCTGGCGCCTCTCCGTTGGCCCCGAGCGGGGGGCCGCCGTCGCCCTTCCAGCCTGGCCCAGGCGGCGCGCCGACGGCGGGCGGAGTTCCCGCTGCGATGGGAGCCCCAGCAGCAGCGGCGACCAGCGGGCCAGGCGGCAGCGCGGCGGGCGGCGGCGGCCCGGCAGCGCCCGCCGGCGGGGGCCCCGCAGCGGCCAGCGCGGCGGCATCACCGCCCGGGCCCTCCAGCGGCAGCAGGGGGGCCCTCCCTGCAGCAGCCCGCCGCTCACGGGGATGAGCGTGCCACCAGGCGGGGGGGAGGGTGGCGGCGGGCGAATTCGACGTCGGCCTCGGCGGTCGCTGCCGCCAGCCAGGCCAGGCTGCCTCGCGGGCTGCCGACGGGGCGCGGGCGAACCTGTAGGTGGCGTCAGGCACGATCCCAGGCGGGGGCGGCCAACGAGCTGCCGCGAACGCACCGCTGCTATGTCGGGCCCGGCTGCCAGCAAACGCTCCGCGTAGACCATGTCGTCAGGCGTCACTGTGATCACATCATCCGTGAATGCCAATTGACCCACAACCCTCCTCTGGTGGAACAGCGGCGCGCCGGCCACGTTGTAGAGCACCCACGCTCACGCCTCCGCCATCGCCCGTCGCCGCCAGCACTGGGCGAGGAGAAGCCCCGCTCGGAGCCGGCGGGACCGTGGCCGGCGCTTCAGCTGCGAAGCGGAGCGGGCCCCACACCCGCAGGCCAGCGATCGCGACCAAGGCGCCGAGGGAGGCGCCAGCCACGCCCGCGGCCAGGCAGGCGAGTGCCACTGCGCCTGAGGTCGCGCCCACGGTGGCCCCAGGGCACGGCGAGCAGGCACGATCGCGGGGCAGCGAGCGACCTAGGCCTGCAGCGCCAGCACGCCGCAGCGGTCCAGGACCCTCAGCAAGCCCTCCGGGAGGCCCAGCCAAGCCATGCACCGCGGCCCGCCGCGGCACTCAGCTCGAGAACCGAAGGTATGGAATGCAAGCATTCGGCCTCTGCCCTCCCCCTCGAAAGGCATTCAACTTCAAAAGAAAAGACCATCATCACTGTCAGCATCCTCCTCCTCCTCCTCCTCCTCCTCCTCCTCCTCCTCCTCCTCATCATCATCATCATCATCATCATCATCATCATCATCATCATCATCATCAGCATCATCATCATCATCATAATAATCATCATCATCATCATCATCACCACCACCACCACCACCATCATCATCATCATCATCATCATCATCATCATCATCATAAGTATCATCATCATCACCATCATCATCATCATCACCATCATCATCCAAATCATCTGCATGAACATCAGCATCATCATCAGCATCATCTTCTTCGTCATCATCATCCTCATCCTCACCCTCATGATCATCAGCATCATCATCATCGTCATCATAATCGTCATCATCAGCATCATCATCATCATCATCATCATCAGCAGCAGCAGCAGCATCAGCATCAGCATCATCATCAGCATCATCATTATCAGCATCATCATCAGCATCATCAGTTTTCATCATCATCAGCATCGTCATCATCAGCATCAGCATCAGCTTCATCAGCAGCAGCAGCAACAGCAACAGCATAATCAGCATCATCACCACCACCACCATCATCATCATCATCATCATCATCATCATCATCATCATCATCATCAGTAGCATCATCATCATCATCATCATCATCATCATCAGTAGCATCATCATCGTCAGCATCAGCAGCATCATCAGCATCATTAGCATTATCATCATCATCATCATCATCATCATCATTGTCGTCGTCATTGTCATCATGGTCAGCATCATCAGCTAAATCATCATCAACATCAACATCATCAGCATCATCATATTCGCCATCATCATCATCATCGTCATCATCATCTTCATCATCACTATCACCATGAACATCACCATCGGCATCATCCGCGGCATCAGCATCATCATCAGAATCATAAACAGCATCGTCATTATCATCATCATCCTCATCATCATCATCATCATCATCATCAGTATCATCATCCTCCTCATCATCATCAACATCCTCATCATCATCATCATCATCATCGTCTTCCTCCTCCTCATCAGAATTATCAGCATCAGCATCAGCATCAGCATCATCAGCATCATCAGCATCATGATTACCATCGTCACCATGTAGATTATCATCAGCATCAGCAGCATCAACAACAGCATCATCAGCATCATCATGATCATCTTCAACAATATCCGCATCAACATCATCAACAACAGCATCTGGGCCGGCACGGAAACAGAAAGAGCGCCTGAAACACATTAACCGAAATTACTCACACCACCGTTCGTACTGGGAGCCTTGGCGTTGAGAGCTTGTTACATCACCCCTCGCTCCTCCTCCTCCTCCTCCTTCTCCTCCTCCTCCTCCTTCTCCTCCTCTTTCTCCTCGCCCTCTTCCTCCTCCTCCTCCTCCTCCTCCTCCTTTCCCTCCTCCTCCTCGTCTCCTCTTCCTCCCCCTCCTCCTTCTACCTCCCTCCTCCTCCCTTGGCCTCGTCCTCGTTCCTCCTCGTTCCTCCTCCTCCTCCTCCTCCTCCTCCTCCTCCTGTTCCTCCCCCTCCTCCTCCTCCTCCTCCTGGCTCAAGCTCTGGCTCAAGCCTACCGTGGGCAGGTGGCGCCTGCTTCCATCCCTTCAGCCTGCCGTAAGCAGGTGGCGCTTGCTTTCACGCTGACCAGCAGCGCCGCCCCAGGCCAGCAGCCCAGCCTGGGGCCTCCCTCGATCCAGTCAGACATGGGCGGCCAGCGGCAGCCAAGCCGTGGCCGAGGCGAAGGGCGCAAGTACCTATGCTGCCAGTCTGGCGGATGCAAAGGATGGACATGGGCTGACAAACCGTTCAACTTCGGTGGCCAGTGTGGAGCAGCCTTCATCGGTCGTGGGCCTGCCCAGTCAGCCTCGACCAACGCCAGTCAGAACGTGAATCCCGACGGTACGCCCAATCGGTGGCGGAGGCGCACAGTCAGCCCAGCGCCGAAAGGTCACCCCAAAGGAGTTGCGGGAGTGCGTGCACCAGAGGAATCCGAACGTGACCCAGTCGGTGTGTGCTCGGCGGCGGTCCAGTTTTGGAAGAAGATGGAAGGCACCTCTGGGCAGCACTACCTGCAGGCCGTGAGTGACTTGAAAGCAGTGAAAGCATCAACGTTGGCAGCCAAGCCTTGGGATCAGCAGAGGATGTCCATGCATGACCAGCTCGAGGTCACCAAGAAGAAGCTGTCCAGCGCCCAGCATGAATGTGACAAGACGTGTGAGGCCATTGTGGCATTGGCCAGCGACTTCGAGAAGCAGATCCAGATCGTGGCTGACCTCACGTCCGAGGTGCAGCAGCTCGAGACCCAGCACAAGATGGCGGTCCAGCAGGAGCTCAAGGAGCATGCGTGCAAGGCCCCCAGTCTGGAGTCACTCATTCCCAGCCAGTTCCCGCCAGGGCTCGCGCCGTCCGCCGAGGCGCCGACGGCCGTCGCGCAGCTCGCGGCCAAGCTGCGCGTGGAGTGGCAAGCGGCGCAGGCGGCGCAGCAGGCCCAGGCCGCGGAGGCCCAGCCCCACGCGCGCCGACCCAGGCGCCCGCCGACGTCCCAGCCCCGCCGCAGGTGGACGGCGGGCCGCCCACGCCAGCGGGCCCTGGCGCTGCCGACGGCGCTGCAGACGGCGCCGGCATCAGCCCCGAGGAGGCCGCAGCCTACGACAAGGAGGAGAAGGCCATGGAGGTCGAGGAGCTGAACGCCGAGCAGAAGCGCCTCGCAGGCATCAAGCGCGCTGGCGAGGCCGTCGGCCAGGTGCTGAACCTGCACGGCCAGAACCTCCCGCAGTCCTCGCAGCAGCAGGAGAACACCGAGGCGCTCCAGAAGAGCGCCAAGGCCCTGTGCGTCGCCGCAGCCAGGGGCAAGGGCGGCGAGGGCGATCCCGCGGACAAAGCGTCTTGCGGGCAACACGGTCAGGTTCGCCACAATCAACGGCAGCTGCTGGAGATCCATCAGGAAGCTTCTCCAGTCTTCAGCAGCTGAGGCAGTGGATGTCATCTGCTGCCAGGAGGTCAGAGTTTTAAAAGAGACGCTCCCATTCATTGTTCAGTGGTGCGAGCGCGCGGGGTGGCAAGCGATATTCTCACCGGCCGTGCTCGGTGACAAAGGGTACCCTGTCCATGGCACAGGGATATTGATTCGTGACGGGCACGACTTCGGAGCATCCAGAGCGCAACTTCCTGCAGGGGTCGCAGAATCGCGCTGCACAGCCGTCTCACTCGAACTTCGAAGACACCGTCCATTCGCACTTGTCTCGATCTACCTGGCCGACGGGGTGGGCCTCGACAAATGCAACTTAGAACTTCTAGCAGGGGTTGCAATGATCCAGGATGCTGCGCGACAGCCACTCATCATTGATGGGGATTTCAACGTCTCGGCCAAAAAGATCATGGAGTCGAACTACCCGTTGAGAGCGGGCCTCAAGATTCTGGCCCCGGCTACCCCTACGTGCAAGATGAAGAAATCGGCTAGCACCGTCGATTTCGCCCTAGCCTCGTCGCGTTTCGACCGGGACCTCTCGGGCGCCACCGTCCTGGACGACTACCCGCTGAGCCCCCAAAGGCCCGTTCTGTTTCAGCTCGGGCTCGGGCGTGGGAAGCCCTCCATGGCGCCCGTCTTGGAGAAGCCCCAACCGTTCTCCACTACCAGGCCTTATGGGCCAACAAACTTTGCACCGTCTTGGGGCAAAACCGAAGCAGCTCCGGGCATCCTGGGCCAGGTCATCGCCCAGGAGACCGACATAGAGGCCCGTTTGCTGGCCCTGAACTCCACGTACCATCACGTCGCCAGTGACATGGCGAAGCCGATCAGCATCCGCACGGATATGCCGATCAAGTCGCCCACCACGCCGCGAGCAGGACTGCCCGAGATCCGCGGGGCACCAGGAGCCGCTCGGGAGGTGGAACCCAGGGCTAGTTGGAGGAGTTCGTCGGCCCCGACAGATGGTTGAACAACAAAGTGATGGATGTCATCCGCAAGGTTCATTCCAGGGAAGAGTTTTACCTTTCTGAGATGTTGGTCAGCATCCAGTCACCGCCTCCAGAGCTTGAAGGCACCGAGGAGTTTGCCCGTCTGCTTGCCAGCGTTAGGACTGCTCTAGGCGCCGCCGCTCAAGATCAGGACAACGGGGCGCTGGGCCCCAAGCTTGTCTTGGAGGTTTTCGAAGAGCTCGATGAATCAGTCGATCGAGCGCTGCAAGCTGAGGAGGCCAGGGGCCGTCAAAGTGAAACCACTGCCCGGCACAACTGGGCCCAGGAGGCCATGTCCCAAGGGGCCGGGCGGGCGCGCCGCTGGGCCTCAAAGCTCACCAGTTGGCAACCTCAGAAAGTATGGCGCCCAGATCTGCAGACCTTTTCAGGACGGCCGTTTGAGTTGCTCCAGTCGGAGGCCCCCCGCCGGGCAGGACGCTGGAAGGTCGCGCCGCAGGGGCAAACATTTAACTTGCCGTCGACCGAGCGTGACCGCTTGGAGCCCATCACGCCTGGCCAGATCAGATCGGCAGCCAAAAGATTTCCGACATCAACCAGTCAGACTTGGGGCGGATTTCACCCTCGTCAATTGGCTTTACTGCGCCACCGTGAGTTGGAGCAGGTTTGTAAACTTTTGGCGGCCATTGAAGAGAAAGGAGTATTTCCAAACGATATTCGCAGTATTATCATTACCCTGATCGAGAAGCACAAAGCCGACCAATCTGAGGGCCCATCCGACCGAGGCATCGGTCTCCTTCCCGCTCTCTGGAGGGTCTGGCCCAAGATCCGCCAGGTGGATGCCCGTCGTTGGGAATGGGCCAACAAGAGGCCCTATCTTGCCCATCAGTCTGGTCGAGGCGTGCTAGAAACTGTTTATGCCCAGGCCTCCAAGGCCGAGCTAGCTGGCTACCAGGCTGTTTACACTGGTGGCATTCTTTGGGATCTATCAAACTATTATTAAAATGCGAACCGCGACAAGTGGAAGTCTCGGGCTATGTCTTCTGTGTTTTTTTTTTCGGAGACGCTAGTATGTGTTATGATGAGCCAATACGGGGGCCCGAGGGTAGATGCAACGTGTACTTTGGCTACGTATGCCGGCTGCGCCACTAAAGGTTCCCCCGCGGGATGCTCGTTCGCTGCCTGCCACGCGCGCGTGCACACGGTGCCCCCCATGGACTCCTGGGCCCCGAAGTTCCCCACTGCGGACCCCATCCATCTTCATGGATGACTTCGCGTTGGGCAGCAGCAACACTAGCGACTAGCGTTAGGCTCCTAGCGTCGGACTTGGCGCAGGCCGCCGACCGCATGCTAGATTCAATCGAAGAGGACCTCGATTGCTCGGTCGCGCTGCACAAGGCGGCGGCGTCGGGCTCGTCAGCAGAGGTGCAGCAGCGACAGGCGAAGGCTCTAGGCATGCACAGTGGACCCGAAGGCGTCCGCCAAGCGCAGTCCACGCCAAACCTCGGAGTAGATTTCACCATGGGGAACAGGCTCAACAAAAAGTCACGCAAGACCCTTATCAAGCGGTCGGCAAAAATGAAGCGTCGTCTCCACCGTTTGGCGCATATTAGGAGAGCAGGTGCGAATACGAGTAGGATTTATCAAACAGGGTTGAAGGCGGCCGCCTACTACGGAGCAGAGGTGGTCGGTCTCACTAACCCCGAGGCGCACGAGGCCCAATCCCTGCACCTCAAGGCCGTGGGGCCCAGATGAGCTACCAGATCCAAGTCTTTGGCGCTGTCGATTCTCCGGGGCCCGACCTGGAATGCCGCTCTGGGACCGGCCTGCTATTGGGCCAATCTGATCTGGAGAGTCGCTCAGCAGGGCTTGACCAAGCTGCGGTCTCGCGATGGGCAGCCCAAGGAGGTTGCCATGGAAGGTGCAGTTTTCCACGACGGCGGTGTTTTAAAACCTGGGCCCGCGGTTTACGATGCCCCTGTCTGGTCTGTGGTTAAAATCGACGAAGAGGGCGACCTAGTTGCCAGCCTCTCGGGGCCCGTGGGGGCCAGTCTTCCCCCCGAGTCGCCCGCTGCCGAACATTTAGGATTTCTGGCTGCCGTCTCCTGCCCAGAGGTCACCAAAGCGTGGACTGACTTTAAAGGCATCCTCTCGGCTCTCCAGAGCCCCGAGGTTAGTAGGAAAGAAATGTATGCAGGAGTTTCTGTCTTGGCAAGGTCCAGGACAGTTTTAGTTCCCTCGAGATTGCTAAAGTGAAGGCCCACCAGGATCTCTCGACCCTGGAAGCTGGCTCGAGGGACTGGTTTGTTGCCGAAGGAAATGACTGGGCGGATCGGGCTGCCAAACTAGCTGCTGCCCGGATCCCCGCCCCGTCCCAGATGGAGATAAATAATATAAAGAAACCCGCAGTAGAGTTCAGAGATTTGTGAAGTACGCAGCGGAGGCGCTTTCCTCGCGGCAGCCCCTCGCCCCAAAGACGGGCAAGAAGGCCTACGAGAAGCCCCCTAAGAGCCTCGACCCCTCCGCTGGAGCCGCGGGTGCGGTCAAGGACTGGACCCCGCCCCCTCAGCCCCCTGAGGGTCATCCTCGGCGAGCCCGCGCAGGCCGCCGTAACCCTCAGGTTTTGGCTCGCCACCAGTGGGGTTGGATCAACAACCACTGGCTGTGCCTAGCGTGTCACACTCGCGCCCGCACCGACAGCACCCGCCAGGCCCGTTCGCGCGAAGCTTGCCCTGGTAATTCTGTAGTGCTGTCCCAGCGAATTAGGGACCCCAAGAAGCACCGACTTATGATTAGCGATTACCTAGACGTCGAGTCCTTTCTCATTATTTGCAAGAGGTGCGGCCGATACTCGGAGAGCAACATCGAAGGACTCAAAGGCGAATGCAGTGAGCACTTCAGAAGCAAGTTCTCAGAAGGTGCGTGGTCTCTGGTTTCAGGCGGTCGTCATCCTAAGGGCAGTATGAAGGCCCGCCCCCGACTTCCCCTGCCCTTCACTGCAGCCAAGCTCCACAAGGAAGGGGCGGCGACGTAGGGTCGAAAGAGTGCGTAAGGGGAGAGCGGATGTAACCCGAAAGTTTCGGTTCGGGTCGGGTCGGCCTAACCCTAACCTTCCTCATTAGCATGCGGTGGTCCTCCTCCTCCTCCTCCTCCTCCTCCGCCTCCTCCTCCTCCTCCTCCTCCTCCTCCTCCTCTCCTCCGCCTCCCCCTCCTCCTCCCATCCTCCTACCCCCCTCCCTCCTCCTCTTCTCCTCCTCCCTCCTCCTCCTCCTACTCCTCCTCCTCCTCCTCTCCTCCTCCTCGTCCCTCCTCCCTCCTCCTCCTCCTCCTCCTCCTCCTCCTCCTCCTCCTCCCTCCCCCGCCTCCGCCTCCCCTCTCCTCCTCCTCCTCCTCCTCCTCCTCACTCCTCCTCCTCCTCCTCCACCGCCGCATCCGCCGCACTCTCCGCCTCCTCCCCCTCCCCCCCTCCTCCTCCTCCTCCCTCCGTCCTCACTCCTCCTCCCCTCCCCGCCCCCCACCCCCTCCCCCTCCTCCACCTCCACCATCCACCTCCTCCTACTCCGCCTCCGCCTCCTCCTCCTCCTCCTCCTCCTCCTCCTCCTCCCTCTGGGATCCTCTGGTATCCTAACAAGCGAGTTCAGCTCTGCCAGACATCGCTCACCTGCCCTCCCCCTCCCCCTCCCGCCACACCCCTCCCCTCCTCTCCGCCTCCGCCTCCCTCCTCCTCCCTCCCTCCTCCTCCTCCTCCACCTCCACCACCTCCACCTCCACCTCCACCTCCACCTCCTCCTACCTCCGCCTCCTCCCTCCTCCTCCTCCTCCTCCACCTCTCACTCTCCGCCTCCCCTTCCCGCCTCCTCCTCATCCTCCTCCTCCCCTCCTCCTCTCCTCCTCCGCCTCCTCCTCCTCTCCTCCGCCCCCCCCATTCTCCTCCTCCACCTCTCTTCCGCTCCTCTCTCCTCGCTCCT